AATATTATGGGACAGTGCCCTGGTCAGTAAAAGCAGTACCCTCCACCATTTGCTGGAGTCATCCTTGTTTCCTGCTCATTCTTCCTCAGCAAGCGGCCCTACTCTTAAAACTCTCTGACACTGGGTGAGTTAAGTTACTAAGTGCTTTGTTCATTAAGTTGATTTTTTGTCCAAATGAGGACAACAACCACATGCTTTTAAAAGCTTTATTTAAAAAAGCCCAAAAGCAAGTTTGGGGGTGTGAGAAACGCTCAGTTACCAATTATCAACGGCTCAGACAGGGTGCGGTGTGAAGCATTCTTTATTACGTTCTTGCAAGACCGGGTGCCCCACCAGTGTGGGGGGGGGTGTCTTGCAAGACCTGTGGGCGCCCCTAACAGGCATTGTGCAATGGTTTATATCCCGCGAGTTCCCTCTCCTGATTCCTCACTGGCTGAGTACTACAGGCTGTACAGACTACCCAAACCGCCTACCAACACACCCCTTCATGTATGTGTTCATACATCACATGTTCATGGCAATGAACTTGGCTTTCTCCAGGGCGGAGAAGTTCATATGCATGAGCTCATCATGCAAGCGCAAGCATACTAAGACAGAAAAAGTTCAAAATTCAGGTTCCCCAAGTCTCTCGGTATTTGTATCCATCTAAAGCCATTTCTAAGTACTGGTCATCACACTTGACAAAAGGGCTACATGTCTTCTCACCCCAGACCAGGAATTTTGGTTTGCTCTTTCAATGAATTGTTCTCGTTAATTGCTTTGGTGAATCACTCCTGCCCTTCCCATCAGGCTGAATATGCAAAAACAACATTCTTTCCCTTACAAGGGTAAAACCAGAAAGGCAACAAAAAACCCCACTGTCTTAAATACCTTATTAGTAGTAGGCTTGTCAGTTGACCTGTAGGGTCAATAGATGATCAGGATATAAAAGCATATGAAAGTAAAGTCTTAGCATAAAACTAAATGCACTTTTTACATTCATGTACACTTAAGAAGTCTGAGAGACACAGCCACATCTCACATGTTTGGGGTTTTTTTAATTATTGATTCATGAGATTTGTCTTATGAGACTTGGTAGGGGAACCTACCAAGAAAAAAAGTGATAAAAACTATAAGAAATCAGTAGGTGTAACCTTGTAGTCCAATAAATACAGTATTATCCTTGCTAGTAAGAGACCAGAGGCACCTGTGGTGGGTTGACCTTGGCTGGATGTCAGATACCCACCAAAGCTGCCCTGTCACTCCCCTTCCTCTGTTGGGTAGGGAATAGAAAATATAATGAAAGGCTTGTGGGTTGAGATAAGGACAGGGAGAGATCACTCACCAACTACCATCATGGGCTAAACAGACTTAACTTGGGGAAAATTTGCTTAGTTTTTATTGCCAATCAAAAATAAAATCTAAATCTTAAAACACCTTTCCCCCACCCCTCCCTTCTTCCTGGGCTTAACTTTATTCCCAATTTCTCTACCTCCTGGCTGCCCAGCAGTGCAGAGGGGCAGGTGATAGAGATTGCGGTCAGTTCACCACCTGTTGTTTCTGCTGCTCCTTCCTCTTTGAGGGGAGGACTCCTAACACTCTTCACCTGTTCCAGTGTGAGGTCCCTTTCATGGCGTGTAGTTCTTTAGGAACAGACTGCTCCAGCATGGGTCCCACAGTGGGTTACAAGTTCTGTCAGCAAATCTGTCCCAGCGTAGGCTCATCTCTTCATGGGTCCACAGGTCCTTCCAGGAGCCTGTTCCAGTAGTGGACTTCCCATGGGTCACAGCCTCCTTTGGGTGCATCCGTGTGCTCTGGCATGGGGTCCTCTATGGGCTGCAGGTGGATCTCTGCTCCACTGTTAACCTCCATGGGCTGCAGGGACACAGCCTGCCTCACCATGGTCTTCATCACAGGCTTCAGGGGAATCTCTGCTCCAGTGCCTGGAGCACCTCCTCCCCCTCCTTCTTCACTGACCTTGGTGTCTGCAGAGTTGTTTCTCTCACAATCTCACTCCTCTCTATGGCTGCTGTTTCAGAGTACTTTTTTCTTTCTTAAATATGTTATCACAGAGGTGCTACCACTGTCATGGATGGGCTCAGTCTTGGCCAGGTGGGTCTGACTTGGAGCCATCTGGTATTGACCCTGT